CATTTGTTAAGTTTTTAAAAAGAAGATGACAGATCCAAAAACCATTAAGCTATGATTTGAAAATGTGTGATTTCCAAGAAACTCACTGCATCAGGCATATTCACACAATTGGGTTCATTTTATGAGGCCCCCCAAAGCATGTCATGGTTGTCCCTCAGACACAATTGCAAAAGTGCATTGATGTTTTGGGGCAGCAAGTGGATATTACTTGAAATAAAAACTTAGGGCAACATGTTGAAATCAGTTTCTAGTAGGTATTTGTCATCTTATTATAATGATAACCTTTATAAATCCTGGCAATTGAGAGGATATTCTGGGCTTCCCAGCAATAGGAAGCTTGATGAAAGCACATACTTCTGTGAAAATTATATTTTAACTATCATATTTCCTATTTCCCAGAGAGTTCTCCATTATGGTGGGTAATAGCTCTCTTTCAAGAATGCATCCTCCATAGCTTAGTGCAATTCCTAACATCAACCTTCACTGAAAGGATGACAATATACCATTCACTTGCAATCATAAACAGGTGAAACAGAAAAGAAATTCAGTTAATACAATCTAAGTCAAAGTCAGGTGGCTTTTTTTTAAAGCCTAGTTTATACTTTTGCAAGAGCAGACAACAAAACTGCATGCTGCTTCTAGATGTAGCTCTACATTTGCTGTATTACATGTTCCACTGCAACTTCAAATAAAATAATGTCTTCTGCTAAATCCAGCATGTTGTATAGCACAAGTATGAAATGGGCCCCATGGCTTTAACCTATCCTTCCAGGCTCCCAATATGCAGTGCTTCTATCTTTTAATTATCTGTTCATCACCATATCTCTAAAAATGCCTGGTAAACTAATGTGGGATGGGAGTGTAATGAACTGGCATTTTTGCATTCCAAAAATTCAAGAGCTATAAAAGGTGTTATATACAAAAGCAAAAATTCATATACTTTTTAAAAAAGCATCAATGAACATGAATCCCTGTCAGGATGAGGGAATTTCTCCCAGTAATTTCATTTAGATCAAAAGGACAGTTTGCTTTTGAGTACTTCCAATTGATAATACAATGAAAAGTTCCTTTTGAAATGAAGGCAGCCAATGTGGAAGAGGGACAGTATCCTGGCAAGCACATTGAGAAGGAAAAACCACTCAAGAGCATACGAATGAGTCATGTATCTGAAGAGCTCTTGAAAAATACTATGAATTAATGCCGCTGTGCAATGGCTCTGTAAGGTCTGTGGACTTGCCAACATAGAGATAAGGGCACAAGGTGAATAAAAGCAAAGTTTCCAAGAACATCACTCTATATTCTTTCCATCTATACATAGAAAGAACTTGATTATAAATTGATCAATTATAACAGTGAACTCATACTTTCTACAGCTGCACAAATTTTCTACACAGAATGAAAGGGTTACTTGCAATATTTTTATTATTATTATTATTTTTTTTTTACCAACTTGTGAAGATCTGAGGTTGTACACCATTGAGTAACAAGTAATTAGTGAATATTGATTATCTCAGCTGAAGCAAGAGATGGTGCAAGACAATGTTATCCCTCATGGTCACCTTTATTTTCTGACATGCCATGTATTGTTAACCCTTCCATTCCTGAGGGGAGTCCAAACTGTATCCCATGTAAACACATTCATGACCACGATGTTCACCACCTTTAACCTCTCCATTTTGCATGTGCACAGAACAGTGACAGAGAATACTATCTATAAGCAGACACAAGAACTTTGTTGTCTGAGTAACAGAAGCAATGACAAAGTGGTAAATTTAAACATGTTCTCATCTGAGGAAACTATGACACAGGCATCAACAAATAGCACACCTTATCCAAGGAAACTCAGATTTGGTCATCAAGTCAGTAAAAAGTGATTACTGAAAACCTCAGTAACAGGATAAAACTTTCTTTCTCACATAACAGCATGTTCAGTAAATAAAGATCCAGTTCAAGCTGTGACAACCACTGAACAAAATTCCATTCATCATAAAGGTTTGCAAAAGAATGCAAACTCCTGTAATGTGAAATTCACTACCATCTGTGTGAAATAGGTTGACAATAGTCACCTCCACAAGCCTAAAATAGATTGGAATTGCTGATTTCTATTCTTATGAACTTATAGTGTCAAGATGGGGGAAATCATAAAATAAGCATAAAGAAACAAAAAAAATTTATATCTAAATTAAGCAGAGAGGACTGAGAACATTTACTGTAATGCCAGACAATAGATGAGAAGCAAAAATGCTGAAAACTTTTACCTATAAATTATTTAATATTTCATATTGCCAACTTCTTAAGCATAGGAACAAATACCTAAGCAATAATGAAGGGAGTTATTGGATATAGGTTGCAAATGGCAAATGTCTATCAAATTACATGCATAAGTGATTTTTATTTTATTTCACACCTAGTCACAGAGGGAAAACCATAAAAATTTCTCTGGATGGACTTCTCGCACACTGTCTGCCTTGCTTTTTTTCTTTTCCTTTCTTCCTTGTCTTGATCTCTGTTTCCCTAATTTCCATTTTAAAATATTGTCTCTGTATTTTTCCCTTTCCCTTATTTTTTTTTGTTGCTAATTTTCTTCTGCTTTGCCATGCATGGAACTTTTACTATTCTGCTGCATTCAGGATTGATTGATATAGCATGAACAGGACATCCACTTGGTTCTGACCACTCAGCCTAGTCAAAATCTGATAGTGTTGACCTCTGCACTTCTGACTTGAACTTAACCTATACCCATCTTTCAGGATATTTGGAACTTCAGTTTCTAGCCTTCAGCTCCAAAAGATATAAGACATGAATGGGATCTTGGGTATAACACACCTGCAGTAACAGATGAGTCTTAGCCCAATCTAAGATACCGAAAGTGTGAGCACCTGGTTTGAAACTTCATTTTTTAACACCACATGCTCTATACTTCAGTTACTATAACTTCTTCTCTAGCAGCAGCCCCCCAGTCTCAATTGCCCCTTATGTTAGGGTGACTTGATGACAGAGTTTTTCAGCATATACCTCAGTTTGAACTTTCTGTTGTCCAGGCTTTTCCACAATGCAAGGACAAAATTTGGACAAAAAAAAGTTCCTGTTTTTCCTGAAAAACATCTGGTCACCCTACCTTATGAGAGTATTATGGGGGTGGCAGCAGTGAATTTTGTCATCCAAAGGTAACCAGAATTGGGCATAAAAAAACTTCTGTGTGTCACAAGTTCCAAGTGTTTTTATTTTCCCATGTGTTCAATATTTTTTTCTTCGTCCAGATGGTCACCCAAGGCATACAGTAGGCTTGACTTATGTTTTTCCAAAAGGCAATGGCTCTTTTGGTCTACACCTCAAATAGCCTAGGCCTATCATCTTTGCCTCCATTAGTCTGTACCTATGAGGCAGAGATCCATAATTACGAATATCCGGTTGCGTAGGCACTACCCAACCCGAGTATGCATAACAATTACATGCATTACCATAACTATGGCTACCACCTTTGTTTCATCCTGGAATATGACAGTAGTCTTTTTAAATTTTTGAGAATTTCTTACAAAGCACGGAAAAAGCGGTAAACCTTATATTTTTTTAATTGATAGGCTAGTCATAACCTTAAGCCCACGCAACTTCTAATTTTCACCATAATCCTGTATGATTAATTAGGCCTAGTCAAACCTTAATAAAACTAGGAAAATTACTTGAACACGAGTCGAGTCAGATGGTTAGCCTTCGACTGGAATTGCAAAGGAGGTCTTAAAATCTGGGCGTATCACCTGTACGACGAGCCAAGCCCCGTCACGAAATGACATCATCACATGAGGAAGGAGGAAAACCGTTTCCCTTTTGTGTGGCATGTACCTCGCCATGTCTCCCCGAAATTCTTCGAGCACGTTCGATTCCCTCCATCGGAATCTCTGTTGGGAAGTGACTCGTTACCCGGTTGGTGCGTCTCTCGTGCGATCCCAAGGTGCACGACTCCTTTCCACGCAGAGTTTCACGCTTACGTTGAAAAAAGCTGCATCTCCATGGTGCATGCGTTTCCGTTTAACCTCTGCACTGATGCCACACAAAATACGAATCCTCGAACCGGGTGACACGCCCATGCGTGATTCACGCACGGGGGCAGCAATAAAACCAGCAACCGTCCTTCCTTTTGTGCTCTTGCGCCTCATAGATACTCGCCCGCTGACGTTGCCAACGTTACACCTATGACTCAATTGATATGGTTTCCTCTGATAAGATTGATTTCGTTTCTATCACTTTCCGTCTCGAAAATAGATGGAAGGATTCATTGGGGAAAAGAATGTGCAGGAATTATTTAAGCCTACGTGGGTGATGACCCACAAGAACTGACATTTGAAATACTTTTCGCTGACAACTGGCATGCAATCTTGTACAGATGGGCACGAAGTATCTTCCGGCTTTCGTACTTCATTTTTGCTCCCGGGAGCAAAACTCATGAATCCTGTGTTCCCAATTTATCTAGGAAGCAGGTTCTTCTGGTCACCTTTCGGATGGTTGCAGGGCGAAAAGAAAAGAATACATCTCTCACAGACTCCTTGCGGATATCTAAAAACTGTGAAAGCAGCCAGTCTGCCATATCCGCCTGCTAGGAAATGCATCCCTGAAAATTGGTTTTAGATGGTAAGGGACAGTGTGCCCAAACCGCATGCGTGGAAATGCATTGCAAGCACTTAATTGTAATGCCAGAATATGCGAGATGGTCAGGACTTACTTTCATTTTATGGGGTCCAGTTCAGACACCAACTCCAAGCAGCATTACTACAAGCAGCACTACTGCATTTCAGATCGAGTAACAGCTGCTAAACCCCCTTAGACAAATTTTTTACCACGAGCATGTTCAAATCATAAGAGAAATTCATCTCACAAACTAATCACAGAGCAATCATTCCAAGAGTGCAAGGCACCTGCATCCAACCTTCTAAGAGAAATTTGGAAGAATGGAAATTATCAAGAGCTTCAAGGCTCCAGCATTTGATAAAGTAAAGCAAAGTGAATCATGAGACACAGAAAACATTTTTATTCTCTGACAAGCAAAATCCCTCAACAAGATAGAGCCCCAAATCGACAAGAAAGGAGATACCGCAACCAGATAATTCTCAGAGCACACCATTGATCTCAGCTTGGTTCCTTTCTGTTTACTTCAACATATCACCCCAAACCATAAAGACCACTGAAGAGTGAAGACACAAAAAGCAAAGAATTCAGATGAGCATTTTCTCTACCTTCCCCGTTTCACTCGTGGGGCACACAAGAGCTCGGTTTCAGTTCGCATGAGACTATGTACAATGAATGACGTGAACATGAAAGGCACAAAAATAAATGACAAAGATTATTATACAAAAACAGGGACAATGCAAGAAAATGAGAAAGAGACAGAAATAGGACCCGACCTTCGACATCCACAAAAAGACGTGAAGATTCAAAGGCCACGGGTCAACACCTCAACTCCCCCGCCAACAGACCACCGCTCCTGCTCCAGTTCTGAGATTATCGAATACTACATGCTTTCCAAAAACAGAATTCTGACATATAGTGGGAACTCATCGTATAGGAAAAAAACCAGGCATGGATGGAAGAATGAACTCGTGGGCTTCAGAGACATACTGAAAGGACTTTTTTTTATTTATATTTCTCGGGTGTCCTGGGTTGCTCCGGCAGAGACATCCTCTTTAGTAGGAATGAATGAACTGCACTATTGACAATTAAAAGGATGTCTCTGCATGAGCATCCCAAGGCCTATACTCCCCTTCACTCCACCAAACCTAAAGCTGCTCATTCAACCTCTCACTCTCCTGTCAGAAGTGGTAATATTTAAATTAACACAGAAAGACGTAACACTGGACCAGTCTCGATGTCCAAAATTTGAAAACTTGAACAAAATTTTTCTTTCAAGTATGCATTGCAAATAGCAATCTGAACACCAACGAAAGACTAAAGTTTAAAGAGAAAAAAGGAGAATGTGAGAATGAGGCAGCCCAACAGCTTCTTTCACCAATTTTGAAATTCAGGGCCCACATGGGCACGCCTGACCCCCTCAAGACTCGTGAGTGAGGGGCCGAGAGGATCGAGATCGAAGAACTCTCGAGTCATACCGAACACCAACATCCATCGCGAGCTACCCGGGGCAGGAGAGACAACCCGCTCGAGAGGAGAAGAATTTTATCAGATCTGAGCGATCACTTCCTTCCTGAGCAGGGAGAGGGCAGGACCGTTGTACGGCGGGCGGGGAGGTCTAGGCGGCAGCCTCGCATTCACGGGCAAAGTGGCCCGAGCCACCACAATTGAAGCATTTGTGGCAGTTTCGAGCTATGTGCCCCTTCTCGTTGCACCTGAAAGACACACACGTTACACGCACACGCATCGAAGGTCTCTCTCTCTCACTCCACCATCTCCTTCCACGTCCAGTGTTTTCCCTCCTGACACTCACTTGTAGCAAACAGTCGAATCCTCCTCTTCCTGTCCACCTTCCGTGCAGTCTCGAGAAAGGTGACGAGTGGAGCCACAACGGTAGCATTTCTTTCCTTCCTTGTCCTCATCGGGGCAGTCTCGGGAAATGTGCCCCACCTTTCCACACACATAGCACTGCAAAACAAGGAGGACAGGGAGAAATCTACTTTTCAGGACAAGATGCATGAAAGCAATTGCTGACAGAGAAAAAAAGAAAAAGAGACGAACTCGGGATTTCACCTTGCGATCATCTTGGTCACAATCCCGACTGATGTGGCCTTGCCTTCCACACATGTAGCAAGTCTTAGAATCCTCTGGGCAGTCCTTGGCTATGTGACCCACTCTATCACAGTTGTAGCACAAGGCTAGAAAAAAATTCATAGCATTCTTACTTTCAGGAAGCTTTGTAAACTGAAGGATGAGTTCTAAGAGAGTGCACAGTATTTATTAACTTATTTGAAAGTTTCTACTCAGAACGGAAGACCCTATAACATGTGTGATTGGTCAAGTCAAAAAATGTTCCCATCAACAATTGACCGAAGCCTAGAAGTTGCAGTGAGACTGAAAAAAAATAGGCATCCAAATATGAACTCCAAGTTCTGCCATCTGCAACAAGAATATAATTATTACAAATGAAATGGGAAAATGCCATGTGAACATAATTTTTTTCATTTGTGTCATATAGTTCTGAACGAGCTAAGGTCTTAGACTTCATGGTTTCATAGAATAATTGAGGGGGACCATTGTACTTTCACCAGTCCCAGGGGGCATTCTGAATGTCATGGTCTCATATGCTGATAGCGGCATCACTCACCTAAGAATTCAATTAAAGCATCAGGACCTTAGCCTTCCCTGCATTCATACCAATCATTCTAGTTTCATCACAAACAATGGGAGGTCAAAGATCTATGCTCACATATTATTGGGGGTACAAATAAGTTTTGAGGGATTTACAAAAGATGGCGTAACTAGCATTAAATCGCATCGGACCATCTTGTAACTATATTCATGTTGAAGCGTCATCATTTCCCGCTAAAAATCAGTATGTGTCATGTCGCTGAAGTGTAAACAACATACTTTCTTTGTGCTCTAACCATGTCAACCTTTGTGCCAACAAAACACAATTTGCGGGAAGCGCTGCTTTCTTGTTTTAATTTGAAGAAAAGTGCAGCCGATGGACATCGATTGCTGTGTGAAGCATATGGGGAACATGCTCCATCAATAAAAACGTGTGAGTACTGGTTCCGGCGTTTTAAAAGTGACGATTTTGACACCAGCGACAAAGAACGCGAAGGGAGGCCAGTAAAGTTTGAAGACGCTGAGTTGGAGGCGTTATTGGACCAAGATTCATGCCAAACTCAAGAGGAGCTCGTTGAAACCTTGGGAGTGACTCAACAAGCGATTTCAAACCGTCTCAAGGCCATGGGTATGGTGCAAAAACAAGGAAATTGGGTTCCGTATGAACTCAAGCCAAGAAACGTCGAACGCCGTTTTTTCACGTGCGAACAACTGCTCCAAAGGCAAAATCGGAAGGGTTTTTTGCATCGCCCCCAATATGCCAAAAGACATGACAAAGTGATCTTTCAGCACGACAACGCTCGGCCGCATGTTGCAAAAGTCGTCAAGAACACTTTGGAGGCGCTTCAATGGGATGTCCTACCCCACCCGCCGTATTCACCAGATATTGCTCCTTCCGACTACCACTTGTTCCGGTCGATGACTCATGGCCTGGCCGAGCAGCACTTCACTTCTTACGAAGAAGCCAAAAATTGGGTCGATTCTTGGATCGCCTCAAAAGACAAGAAATTTTTTCAACGCGGAATCCGTATGCTGCCTGAAAGATGGGGAAAAGTCGTAGCTAACGATGGACAATACTTTGAATAAAATACATTGTACCAATTTCTCTGAATAAAGCTTCAAAGTTACAAAAAAAACCCTCAAAACTTATTTGTACCCCCAATACTTCACACAACTAGACACACTACATGAAATACATTTTAAATTTAGATGGAGTCTGTGCATTTATAAAATTGACAGTATATGTGGGAACTGATATAGGACACGGTACACTTTTTACCTTGTGAGTTCCACTAAAAAAAAAACTAGTGACTGGAGCATTATTCTCAACCATGGAATGAACTGACTTCATTAGTTAATTCCATTATAAGTTAATCTGAGAATTTGACAAATTAATAATGTTAACAATTTCTATTGAGAAAACTTTTTTTCCATATTACAAATAGGTCCAATACTTACCTGAATCAGGAAAACTTGATACCTCTTCACACAACCATTTATTTTTAATGTTAAAATATGGTATGAGCCAATCAATCTAAAAAGAACATTTAAATTTAATAGGAACATGACAGAACAGCATTCACACTTTCCTCTTGAAATAAAAGGCAAAGAGCCATGAATGCTTCCATCAACACAACTGTTTTGAGTTGATGCAAAAAAAAAGTCCATAAAGGATAGGGCATAAGCAAAATTAGTAGGCCAGCCCTCACCAAGTTTCAGGGCCTCCCTGAGCCAAGTGCTGTCATGCACTGATTTCTGCACAAGTGTACTTGAGATATTACATGCAGAATGAAGCCAACTAGAATGAGAATAACTCAGGGATGAAGACAGTGTGATTTATGTGCGCTGGAGTGCATAAAATGAACACAGGGTTCTGAAAGTATGACTTTCCTGCAAATCAACCTCCACGGTCCTTACCACCCGAGAAGCTATGAAGTAGTTCGACGGGAAAAGCAACTCACGCTCATCGGGAGAGCGCTCGCAGTCCCTTGCAATGTGACCGACTCCATCACATCGGTAGCAATGGTCTTCCTTCTCGCGACACTCCCGTGCAAAGTGGCCGAAGCGATTGCACTTGTAGCACTTTTCTGGAAGAAAATGGACCGAAGCCAAACATTAGACTTGGAACAATCCCAGATTTATTTCAAAGCACATCAGCAGCACAAGAGGGTATATTAACCACGCCTGACTGGCAAAGTCAAATTGGCCACTTTTGATCCCATTAGGGCACGTTGGCCCAAAAAGTGTCAAGCTTACATACATTCTACAATGAGCCCTATTGACTATTCATTTCAGCATATTTGTTCAGGGGATTTGGGATCAGGAACACAAAAGCAAAAGCAAAAAAAGAAACAAAGAATACAATACTTTGGGGATTAAATCACAGTGAACATCCATAAAATCTGTTCTAATAATAATAAAATAAAATCGTTAATTCGAGATTTTACTTAGTTTACTTCCCTGCACACACAAACTCAAGTGACACATCGATCCTTCTATTCAAAATACTTTTCATCCCTACTGCATTATCCTGCATTTGCAGGGACTCTCCCAAAAATATGCCAAACCTCTCCGAATCGACCTCTGCCAGCATCCAATGCTGCTCGACAGTGCTCCAATCAGAACATGCCTCAAAGAAAAGTATTATTTACATTTTCACGTCTAGTCAGCCACAGATGAGCCAGACACCACGGTCCGCTGGCCTTGACTGATGGCTGCAAAGCCATCAAGGGTGAAAAGCCAACAAATTATTAGTCAATATTCTACTTTGTGTCATCAACTTTTTTTTCACGACGGCTCATGCGGTTTACGACAGAACCTCCGTGCTTCTTTTTGCGTTTTTTTTCCGGAAACACACTCGAACAACATAGGAAAACAAACTAATAGAAGCACAACCCCCAATCTCATCATCTGACGCAGTCGCCGCGGCTCGCAAAATATTGCTTGCCAAAGGGACGAAGGAAACTAACCACTTCGCCCAGAAAAAGCGTGGACGTGGTCCCTAGGTCTTCGCATTCAGAAGAGATACACGCACCGGTTCATGTCACGCACAGATTTTAGTTGCCTGGAAGCGAATTCTCACGTCAAAGCAAGGGGTTTAGCCACACCATGTTCGACTTCGATTTTTTTTTTCTTGCGTGGAAAGAAATAAGCACCAGTTCTCTCACTCGGAAAGGAGCCGAAGGGGGTTCAGCGCCGGACAATATTCACACCCATACGTCTTTTTTATTTTCATTTTTGTAAATTGCGTGATTTTTGCATGCATCGGCAATGAGAAAACTTTCGGACGGTGCAAACGATGCCATACTGGCGGCCGATTCCGACGGATCCAAGGCCCCAAGACGAACACCGGACTCGACTCCAATGGATTTTTTCGTTTGGGGTTACACTAAAGCTAAAGTGTACGAAGTTAAGATACGAGACGTGCAGCACCTCCAAGAACGCATTACACAGCGTCGTGAATCTGTGAATATGGACGAAGCTACACTTCTCCGCGTGCAGGCGAATTGGATGAAGCGCTTGCTTAAGTGTGTGGAATTTGAAGGAAAACATTATGAACAAATCATATCCTACTATGCTTGACTTTACGGCCACCCTGTACATAAAACAGAAACGTGCATGAACATCTAGGGGAATTCTTTGCACTGCAAAGAGCCCAACGTCACAACAAATCGGATGATAAAAGAATCGATTCGAAGGGATTCACTCGCTAACATCCTCGGTACGGCCGGGTTACTGAACGATCCCCCCGCTTCCGCCTTCACGAGAGAACCCCAAATGATACCGGCAACGGCCAGGATCATCCACGCGTCTCGCAGGTTATTCACATGACAGAGATTACAAGACAGGCGGTCTTTAAAGCGGGGAAGCTAACGGAACCCGACGGGATCCCGGCTCGCGTTCTTGAGAAACTCATCGGGGAAGGCGCCGCGCCATCGAGAATCATTTTCCACACGGCTCCCCAAGTGAGATGGGTCGATCGACCCACCACCGTCTTCATCGCAACACAAACAGAGTTTCAATCGCCCCACAAAATCTCTCCCCGACCATCAATTCATCCTCCCAAAAAAAGGCAATTCGGAGGCCACCGTCCCGCCCGACCTCCACGCCACCCAGCGCGCACGCACGACGGGTGGATCGCGGCTCCCTCCCTCCGGCACCGGCCGTCTCCGCGCCCGCGAGCGACAACTCGAGACGCTTCAACGTGCCCTTCGCCTCGAGATTCGAGTGAATCCCGGCCCAACCCGTACGCCGATGCAAAGCATACATTTTATGGTACGCCGTACAGGGCCGTTCGTTCCTGGATGGGCCAAAGGTATCCCTAAAAGCGCCGTTCGCATCCGTGTCCATGAAAAAATTCCTCCAATCCAATCCAAGTGTTTCTTTTTTTTACCCTTCAGCACGAAGGGTAAAAAAAAAAAACACTTCGATCCGGTTCGCTTCGTGTTAAGTGGTCCCATCGAAAAAAAAATCGCGAGAACTACTTCCAGCGGAGAAAGCGCCCCGCTTCGTTCCTCAGCCACCCAAAACACGAGACTCTTTTTACGACCTACTGGACAAGGAAACCATGCCCTCCAAACACGACTTGCCAAGTTTGAGACGTGACGGAATCCCCAGCGAGACAAGCACGAAGGCAGATTCGGACTCAACTGCCAACCCACATCTCTGCCAGACCCAACGCCCAAGATTCTCCCATCTCGGCCGACCCCGATTCCGAGCACGCAGCGGGAGTGCAATAACGACCATCCTCGACCAACTGCAAACGGTACATTATCTTCGTCCGCCACATTCCGGAAGGAACGCGATGGCTGTCGATCGACTAAATGACCCACGATTAACCGGCTGAATTTCTCGAATCGATTAGCGGCCCCAGAATCAGGGCCGTCACGGCACATCGCAATGCACCGACTCATCGAGACGGAAAGAGCCAGAACCAAAATTTCCAGGTGCATACGTCATGACGGAACACTCGACGTGCCGGAAAACGAAAGATAAAAAAAAATTAGAAAACGGTGCCAGTCGACGGAAATCCCCTCAAAAGTTATATTCCTTTCCCCTATCTGCCCACACCGGCTTCCGGTCCCGCCCTGGATGCGATAGCGACACGGCACAGATTACTCCCCGGACCATGAAGGCTTCTATTTTAGGCCGCACCTCCTCTGAAATTTCTTTTTCGACGTGATTTGTCGATTCACATGATGTCGTCAAGACAGTCTCGACCACCTTACATTTACCAAATTTAATCTATTCATAGTCGGTGGAGTACATTCACGTAAATATTATAAATCACAATAAAAATCACACTGGAAGAATCTGACCATGGAATCTACACAATTAAGGAATCTGAGGAATTTGAATCATGAATTGAATCCATGATCAGAAATCGCTCTGGCTGAACTGGAACCAGTATCTGCAAGATCATTCAAATCTGTACTTGCACCCTGCACATCAGCAATTGAAGCTGTTTCATAAACTGGTAGTGGCAACAGTATTAAGTTGAGGCAATAAACACCTTTTTGATCAATGTCAGAAATGATAAATTTCTACGAATAACCAGTTGAGCTTTCATGCGATGCAACCAGATTTTCAGCAATTAATATTGTTGATGCTGTCGAGGGTCATAAGGCATCAAATATCCCTATAGACTATAGCTATAGTTTCCTGATTGAACTGGGGGTTAGCAAAAGCTAAATTTTGACTGCTAACCCCCAATTTTTCCACAAAACTTTTTGAAGTGGGGTAAACAAACACAAATGGTACACAAGAACATAAAGATGAAACACTCTTGCCAAGAGTCACAGAATTCCACCGGAACTCTTTCTGCAGAATCACTACCATGCCCTTAGTTTGGTCTCTTGTATGAAAGCTAGCCAGGGCATCTGAAAAGCTTACAAACAGCACAAAATCCAATAGGATCAAAAGTCAGGTAGGTCCAAATGAACACAAAAAAGTCATGGTTCAAAGCAGGGATGACAATGCCTTGATGGAAACAGGAACTTACAAAGTATTTCATTCCTTGATATTCCTTTTTATAGAGAAATTAGGAATGCAGGGATGTGTTAACTGGAATTCAGCTTTCAAAACATCTATGAGACAGAGCATGTGTCAATAAAAGAACATCTGTCATGATTTCTGCTAAAAAAAAAAATCTCAGAAGCAATTTCATTTACACAATTATTTCAATACATTAACGCAATAACCCATAGAATATACAGCAAACATACCATTCAGATGATATAAGGTAAACCAACAAATACATCTTAAAGGTAGCAACCAAGCCTCGATAGTGCTCAACTATAGGAACAGAAGCTAACAATTTTAATTCACTCCAAAAGCTAATAAGATATGGAAATATTCAATGCACTTAAGATAGTATTTATTTTCTTTCCAGTAAATATGGAATTGATTTCTGCCTTTATCCAATCCCAATACTACAATTCCCGTCCCACTCTTCAAACTAGCACCAATATTGAGGGTAGACATCAGTTGTCAACAAAAGTACCCATTTACTTTTTCCCTTGAACACAATATTAGGATTCAGCAGTAGATTCAATACCCCTGAAAAGTCAACATTTCTGATATCTTTACCACATCCTTAAAATAGAAATACTCCTAACTGGAACAATTACTTCAGTTAAGCATGTGACTTACAAGGATATAGCAAAAGGAACCTCAAACCTATAATTTCATATATTTACTCAATGTCACAAGGACCAACTTGAGTGAAGGGTAAAATCCCATAACAAGAGAAGGCCTTACCAAAACTATAGACAAATTGTAAGTTTCCCTAGCATATCCCAAATGGGTCAAGCTACTCCATTAATTGGGATAAATAAATGTTGAACTAATGAGTATTGTGTTAGGATGGGTGTAGGCTGGAAATGAGTTTTCCAGTCTAAACTTACAGAGCTGGACCATTGGTTTCAAGAGCGTTCCTAGACGTAACTTATCATAGCTTTTGGTTGGGCACTCATCTAAATTGTGCCTGTGGGTGAGTTCAGTTACTGAGCACCTGCTACCAGAGCAACGGTGGGCAGTAGTCTCTCTACTACAGCTGTTTTCTAAGCAAATACAACATATAAAAAATTTTGAAACAGATCGTTTTGTTATGTTCCATGATGCCCATGCACTCAAAAAGCTTGCGCATTAAAAGTTCACGTTGAGTCAAAGTTTTTTCAGGAAAATATGGACTTCGTCACTCTTAGGCTCTTTGATATCAATATGTCCATGGCGAAAGAAACTCGTCAGGAGCTTCAAGTCAGAGCACCAGTTGTTAGGCCTTATTTACATCGCTCAACAAATGAACGCACCCGCTCATTTCAACAGGAACAAACAGATAAAATGCAGGACCCACCTCTCGGTGGTCCACCACCACCACCACGGCCTCCACGCATTCCACCTCTGCGACTGTACGAATACGTCGACACTGAAGAAGTGCAATCACGGGCAAAATGACCTGCCCGGTTGCATTTGTAGCACGTACTATTGCTCATCTTCACTGGAACTTTCCCAATTTTGAAGAAACCTTAAATGCCTTTCGTACAAGACCTGCCGCAAAATCAAAGTGGAAACCATTGATGCCGACATCTAAGGTGATGCTAATCGTAGGCTTTCTGACGGCTGGTCTCCACCTGTGACAGGTTTATCTCAGAATAGCCTTAATGGGGCGGACACTGAGGGTGAAGCAAGGCCAGAAGGTCTAATAAGCTACGGCTACGCTTAACCACCACGCCGAGCGGAGACACATGTTCCAAATGAGGAAATTGCCGAGTCACCACATTCTTCTCCCCGACGGAAATCGCCATTTCAGGCTCTGTGAAGCACAGACAGGGTTGTCTCAGTTGCGGAGTACTGTGTCGAGGCAGTGAAAGGAAGCACCTCCGAGGTCACACATTGTATTTTTTTAGCTTTATTATTTCAAAGAAGTACTTACATTTTTGGAAAAACTCGAGGTATTGAATATTTTTCTATTATTTTTCTCAAGAGCTAAATCACTTTCTGTCATTAAAGCTTTCCTCATGGGACATCACTGGTCTCAAGTTGAAGCCAGTGCAGGCCATCCCACGTGTTCACGAACCAGAGGTATAGCGATTTTAAAATGAATTTGTTCCACCTTTATCATAGGCTCCTTAAGTCTAATTTCCCGTCGTTCATGGTTAATGCCCCCTACTTCGTGAAATGTACCAGAGAGACCACACTCACTGTTGGGGTGTTTTACGTCATTTTGCGACAGCCGGTCATGCGTCAGCTTTGCCATGCGGCTACACCTTTATTTTAGGCCTTACATTTTGGGAAGCGTAAGGAAATAGGTGCGTTAGTTTAGCACTTAATGTATTCCCCGCGTTTTCGTCTCTCCCTTTATCTGCTGTTCCTTCACTTTCATGCCACTTTCATTTTTTCCTGCCTCCCTCCAATTTTCAGTTTGACTTTTATCTCCGTTAACATGTGCTCCATACTTTACCATAGACCCTACCATCGTTTTGTGTTGTAGTTGTTTCCTCGCTTGGGAAGGGATGTCACTCCAGGGAATTTATGCATAATTTACATTTCTGCTATCGATGATGACTAATAGTTAGGTGTCTCACAAGCACTGTTGACAATTGTTCCAAGGAAGAATAAGGTTAGATGGTTAATCAAAAGAAACTGTACTGTGTGTTTATTATGCACAAGTCTAGGATTTACCAACCTATGTGAAAAAGATCCTGGGATGCAAAAAAAAAACATGGTTTCTCCATATATTGACATACAATGAAAGCAGAGGTGCACCAACCATAAGCAGATCTAGGTGGCTATTTAACCTGATTGGGTGAAGTGGTCCCCTGGGTGTCTAGTAAAATTAAATAGAAATTGAACAGATTTTTTTGTATTTACATTCTTTATTGCTGCCATGTTGATTCGGAACAGGTCATACATAATTTTAATATATATTCATAATTCACTTGCCTCCCTAATTACCTGAACTGCTCTCCATGAGCTGTTCAGGCAAGCTTATTGCTTAACACATTCACGCCCAGCGATTCCAGAACACTATGGGTTTAAAAACGTAATATTACAGTTCCCTGCGTCAATAGGTTAACACACCCTACTTGGAACCCCCATTATAACCCTTTTTTTTTAGACATGCTGCTATATTTTATATGAGCTGGGCAGGACTCCACCATTGATTGAGGACTAAAGGTTATCATACACAAACACAAGGACGATAGCTACTAGCATTGGATGACATTAGAAGGACTCTCTGATCTTTAACTTTGGCAAAGTACCTTGTAAATGCTTCTTTATCTATTGGAGAAATCTTTTCGTCAAGGGTGTGTATAATATGCTCCTGCCCAGTCAACCAAAGCTGGATTCTTCATATATTATGTCACTCTTTACATGCAGTTGGATAATGTTTCACAGCCCTGGATCCAGGATGGATGGCAGGGGAAGGGACATGAAGGAAGGAGTAAAGTTTGTTCATAGAGGATTGGTATGGAATTTACACTCCACCATGTGGTTGAGGTGTGATAAACACTTTTCCTGCACATTTTTTCCACTATGGCCTAAATGAGTCATCTCTATTATTTCCTTACTTTTGGGCTAAAATCACTTTATATCAGTAAATAATGACATTTCATATACTTGTATCATTTAAATATTTCAACTGTATGTTCCTGAGTGCCAACTTCATCAGTTTTTTACACCTACCTTGCATTAGAACCACAATTTTCCACCTCTCATCTCTGTCATTGCTATTATCATTGTCTGCAGTCCATGATATCCTTGAACTGGTACTGTCATCTGCACTATGAATTTCTTAATCAAACACACTAGAAATAATGCTTTTATTAATTTTATTTTCTGATTTATAATGCAATTGCTGGAAGTGGACCCCATGACCTTTGTTCTTACGAAGCACTAAGCCGTGATGCCACTGATATAGGTGATGCAATGTTATTATTATCACATCCCTTATAATGAATGATGCTTTGATGCATTCAAATTGCATGTGCAAGGTCTACCAAGCCCATAGATGTAAATTGTTCCATACTTTCAATCATATGTGTCAGATGTATGCACTAGCATGTTGAAAATTCATTACATTGTACTATGTTATGCAGGGGAGCAGGAAATTCAGACTACTGACCTCTACTGTGTTAATCAGGGGAATGTACAGTACATTAATGTAAAAGGTGGTGCAAATTAACATTCATATCAGTTCCTATGTGTAGATCTAAGTCTTAGATGCTGAGGTTTGTTGTTTGTACTCCAAGCAAACTTCTCGTCTCTTTTGCAACTCTGACTGCTGCTCTGCTATGCCTTCCTACAGTTTGGTGGTTGCCAGAATGCATAATCTCTCCTGTGCTTGCCTTTAAGTTGCTTTGCAAGATCTTTCAGAGTAAAATGCCCATTTGCTGCTAGCAAAAGGTCTTCATCCTCCCTGCAATGAACTACAGATGCAAGTTGTGGATTCTTACCAAAAAGGCGAGCGTACATGTGCGCTGTATAGTCAGTCACCTTTACTTTTAGCATACACCGAGCACAAGTATAGACCAAATGGGGTGTGTATGACATTACTCAGGATTCAATGCAATCAGAGTATGAGTAGATTTTTGTTGATTTTGAGTAGATTTTGTTTTCTATTGGAATGTGTTAATGAAAATATATATGTGCTACCATACCTGTTGGTGATTAAACTCTGCAGATTAGCCAGTGTTTCAACATAAAGGAGTAATTTCATGGCATGGTTTCATTCCCATTCACTGAAAAATGAAATTCAGCTTTCATGACAATTAAGAAATCGTCACTCTTAAGTATAAATGGTATGGTAATATGGTTTATAGGAATTATTTTGAGGAATTTTCATGTATGTCAGCCAGCTGCAGCCCTATCTACTTGTGAAGATGTGCCTTTTCAATTTGTCAAACTTCATCCATGCCAAATAACAGTTTCTTACTCAATGGAGGAAACCCCAGTTTTGCTACTTTGAAAATTAGGTCACACTATTTCTTGTAGAAAGGTGCCTTACAACCTCAAGATGACCATATATGAAGACTAAAATATTGACTCTTGTTCCTGATCTGATAATTGAGAATTAGCTTAATTGCTAATCCTGGGTGGACCTGGCTAGCTTGATTATGAAGTTACTCAATCAGCAAGGCCTTGCCTGTGTATTTTAAATAACAGTTTTTGGCATGACCTTGCTCTTATTAGCCCGACTTTAATGTATCTTACATGAAATTTAAGGCAATTGTACACTCTCTAAGCATTGTTGATTCCATCTGTACAGGATAATCAGAATTGTACTTTAGCCTGTTACTATGCCATACATGTCAGGCATGTTCATCAGAGTAAGTAGTTCTCTCCTCTTTCTCATTTCTATGCAGGTTGATTCTTTGCCATAGGACATTAGCATATAAACTGCAGGTGTTGGATGTGAAGCATGAAGCTGTTGACCCACAATCTCATGTCCTCCCGGCACATCAAGGGAGTGGTGACAGGTTTCCCTCTGAAACTGACTGCAAGAGATGTGAAAGTGTCTGAAGTGGACTTTAACAAGGACTTCATAGTGCGCATCCTGCCAAAGTTGGACTGGGAAGCCCTGTGTCAAGCAGTTGAGAGCATAGGTCAGGGAACAGATCTCCCACGATCCCTGGATCCAGATTTCAACTTTGAAGCAGATACTGAGTTCTTGAAAAAGGCACACCATGTTCTAATGGAAGTGGAAGTAGTCAGTGGTGAACTGGAATGTCCTGAAACTGGGCGAAAGTTCCCCATCACCGATGGAATCCCAAATATGCTTCTGAATGAAGATGAGGTGTAAATAAAATTCATTTGACTTCATTGTGATCAGTGAAAATTTCATAGGAAATCTCATTTTGTTTTGTTGGCACCCAAGGATGCAACTCTGAAAGGGAAATGAACAACCCTGAATTCATGGATTCCAAAAAACAGATTATACTCTGAAATTCCATCACATCATAAACCACTGTGATAATAAACAAATATAATAAGAAATCTTTCTCCATGTAAATATTTTTCAATGATAGACATCTTGCCAAATGCAAGTTCACTCCTTGGCAAGAAGCAATGCCAAGGATCCATTTGACATGCCACCTGAGATCAAAGGTTGCATATCAGACTTGGTGCTGGAAGTGAGGATGTCATGGAAGGCAGGAGTTTCCATTTGGATGAATCTTTTTAAATGACTTCACATCTGACCCTCAAGTTGGACTGCAACAACTCCTGGCTCACATAAATTATATGTTCTTTCATTACAATCTCTCCCACTTCAAGATATGAATTGCTCTTTGAGAGATATCCTCCTCATGGAACTCAAAGAGTGAGGGAAAGAGTCAACAAATATATTCACCCTATAATCTTGCTAAGATGATCATTGCAAGTTCATTCCATGACTTTTCTTTTAAGGGGGGAGTGGGGGGATTCATTTGAGGGATATCTTTTGGGACGTAATTGGCATGCCTGGTGATCAGGCTCTCATCCATTCTCAAATTTAGTATATTAAACTTCTGACATGAGCATTCAAGGTTCCACATAAACAAGAGAATTCCCAAGTGAACAGATATGCAACGAAAGTTACAGTGCAAGTTTTCTAAGCAACAAGATGGAGGTCATGGAAATGCAATGTCTTTTAATATCACACCCAAGGTTAATGTGGATAATTTACTTTTCATTTCCAAAAGTCCAAAAGGGAACCCTACCATGTTTTGGGAAAGAAACATTGGGGTGGCACAAGCTTGGTCTAATTTCTCCGCTCAGGAGAGGAATGAGGAAAACAATCATTATTACAATTGATGAGTAAGTCAAATGTATGGGATATGACAAGTCATTCCCGTGTGTTTTCCATATTGTGAGAAAACTTGCACAAGGAATTGCTTTGGAGCATCAACATGTATTTTCTAACTATAAGATCCAATAGGATATTTTATCAGGTGCATATCAAACCACATTAATCTTTTATAAAGTGTCTTTCCCTTTTTCACTTGCATCAGGTATTTTCCACCTTGACTAAGACCCTTAAGTGAGGAGTTTCCCATGCTGGGTGTCTGAGTCAAGATGGGAAAATGTCTTGTTACTCAGGTGAAAAATACATTAGCATTGGATTTGTAGCATTTAAAAAAAAAATGCACCAGTGAATAATACTTCTTTCCATTAGTCTTGTACTTAGATTAATATATGGTAATCATGGACAAATGTGGGTGGAATAACATGATCTGCATTTTCAGATACCCTCATGATTGGAATATCTCAGAAATAAATCTGTGCGACACCAAGATTTACCTCTTTGTAACAGACCCTAGCGTTCACCCATGCACATCCAGTATTTCACAGGACTACATATGTATAGTTCAAAAATATACCTTTCAATTAGAATACTTATAATTAGTTATAGCTATTCCAAAACTTTCAGGAACTGATATGCAAGTGCTCCTTCCACTGGAATGAAAATTTCCTATTGCAGAAGCCTTGTACTCCTCATTCATGCATAGGGAGCACCTGAATGTCATCACTACCTAAAGTTTTGGGACTGATGAATTTAAAAGGATCTATGCATTTTTTCCCTCCAAAGTGCTGCTTACCTACCGGCTACCAGGGTACGGGTACAATACATGGATGACTGGCCGACGAGTTGTTGTTTTTCTTTTTTTAAAGCTATGCATTACGGGCTTCACTCCACTCCAATGGACCTTAAAGCCAGGTCATGTGATTTATAATTTTTTTTTGGTATACTACTGCCTGCACCAGAGCGTCAAGCACTGGTACATTAGAAGATTACCATTGAAAGCCTTGAAAGCCTTAAGTTGAAGGCCAAATCACAAATGCCACCTCCCTTCAAGATATGAGGGAAAGAAACACATTCCCAAACTATTCCCTTTCTTTGCTTTGCCCATTTGATATGCAACAGAGAATGGATCACACGATATCTTTGTCATAACTGGCATAGAAGTGATTCGAGATACTGTCGGTAATGAATGGACGCGGACATATAACACGGGGGATCGATAACTAATTAGCTAGAGTTCTGAGACGGGAAGTGAATCGGGAGCTGGGAGAAACTGGCCAGGGCCTGCGTGACCATCGCGTACGTGTCCCGAGCCAGCTTCACTTGAGTTTCCGCGTATTGCCCGATGGCTGTCTTCAACTCGGTGGATCTCACTCGGTGGAACCTCTTGATCTGTCGGGATGAAAGGCGCAGAGTGAAAAAAAAAGGGGAAGCAAAAATAGTTAAAGACTCCACAAAGAATCCATGTCATTAATGGCATCGATTAGTCATCCCAAAGTCGGAGGAGGCATTTACAATCCCTTCTGGCAAAATGAAATGCGGAATCCCGACGTTGACGCGGATCCCAAATCTCTTTCACTAAAACTCGAGATTCACGCCAAGCCCTCACGTCTTTCGCGTGAGGACTCCCACGTCCCTCGATGCGAGGTCTGATGTCACTTCGGATCCGCTTCCTGGAACGGGAGTCCACGCACGAGATCGTCTCACGTGCGAGGCAAGCTCACACGTGCGACGCGCTCGATTGCATGTCGATTCCAGTCGATGGAGATGGACTCATCTCACTCACCGATAGTGAATAAAGATATTCCAATAGATCGGCAGCTGCAAGGTTAAAAAGCAGAGCACGTGCCGATTTTCTCCACATCCGCATCGCCGTACTATTAGGGCACGAGTCCATGCCAAACCGGAACAAATTTCGACGAGAACCGCGCCATAACTGAAGAAAAAACAAAATTACTCATGAGAGAATTTTCACCGGCCGAGCATGACACCTGCCGGAACTCGACCGTGCCGCAAGCGAGCGGGACTTCACGGCGGGACACGGCGGGACGCGACTTTTTCTCGCCCTCGACTGGATCGTGCGGCGCGGCGTGTCGAGGGACGTCGTGGCAGCCCTCGCACCGGCTCGGTCACCGTCATCGGATCCGGGAGGGAAACTCCTAATTTCTGGTCAATTGACCAAATATCCGCATGGTTCATCCCGTTGGGCACTATTCTACAGGGTGTATGATAAGTAACTCCCTATTTTTAATTGTTTATACCTCTTTTATTTTTTCTAACGAAATTTAATTAAACAAACTGTGAATCATGCAACAGTTAATGGGGTTTTTATTCGTCACACTTCCACGTGTGCTCCTTCATTGTCAAAACATTTCCTTAAGCGAACAGGTGTTTCCCACTCGTGATCGTAACATGTGTCGAGGTAAGTCATTACGAACATTGTTGATTCTTTCTTCCAATCCATTAAGATTTCCGGGTCCTTCAGCCCAGCTTTAGCCCTCTTTAGCCCTCTTTAGCCCAGCCTCACAGAAAGAAGTCGCAAGGTGTGAGTTAGGGCTGCGAACTGACTCCAATTTAAACACTGTCAATTTCTATTCCGACAACCTAGATACATCAAACTTTCCGAAAACAAATTTTGCTGCTTAACAAACTGGGGGAAAAAAAGAATCAACAATGTTCTTCAACATTCTTCAACAATGTTCAACTTACCTCGACACATGTTACGATCACGAATAAAAACCCCATAACTGTTGCATAATTCACAGTTTGTCTCATTAAATTTCGTTTAAAAAAAAAAAAGAGTTATAAGCATTTCAAAACAAGGACTTCCTTATCATACACCCTGTAGATCATTAATCGGTTTTCCGTCATATCGCTCGAGTGATTCTCGGGTCAGACGCAAAAAAAAAAGTTCTTAAAACGGTTGCTTGCGGTTAAGGGTAGACGGGGACATTGTTCCACACTAACCCATCGAAAAAAAATTTAATTCAGGTAATCTCAAATTAAAACATTAAATATTGGAAACCGCGAGCCGTTACCTTTGAAGCAGATGTTTATGTCTAGGAATTTTTTAAGTAAAAGAAAAATATTTATCGAAAGCAATGGGACACTTTGACTGCATCTAAAACTTAAAAATCCAAGGAAAGACCGTCACTTCGAATAAATGAGGGTCCTGACATTTTTTTTGTAGCGGGGGAATGTCCCTCAAAACGGATACTCGGATTCCCAAATTGTTTATTGATACACTTTAAAAAAAAAAATGAAAAAAAAATTTCAAGGGAACCTTGCTGCAGACAAAGTTCAACGGAGCAAGGCAGTCATGGCTCATGGTTTGCATTATTCGATTAAATGATCCTTCATCTCAAGTTCGTGCCCCGCACCTATCACTCACGAGAAAGAAAGTTACAACGGAAGCAATATGATATGCCGGGAATCCTGCACGAACAAAATTCCAAAGCACCGCAACGCACTTTCTACGCGCGGCCTCGAAAAAGAGAAACGTGAAAAATTCAATAAAGACCAGAAAAAAAATATATATATATAGCAGGATTGGGAATTGGGGCGGATGTGGGAACAGCTTGGGTTTACCTCTTCCCTTCCACTCCGAATCCACATGAACAAATCCATCTCGGACCTTAAAAAAAAAAATAGCACCATCAGTGGCACGGGCCACATACTTCACGTTACGCCTCGAGGAAAGAAGCCCAAAATCACCAGATACACCAGAGGTGGGGCAAACGACGGCCCGCCAGCTGCTGCAGGAAAACTCATTAAAAAAAAAACTGCAAACAGATGTATGTCCCACTGAGACGGTAAGTCTTTATTCTTACATCAATTTCTGGCTTCCGCGGCCCGCATCTGCGTTTTCTCGTTAGGCCCGTAGGCTATAAAGTTTGCCCACCCCTGAGATAAACTTAAAGGGGGCACAAGGACCAAGAATCTGAACCACCTTGGACTGTGGGCGTAAACGATCCCCCGCTCGTTTCATTTTAATGTAGGGAAAATAGACCTTTCCTTAATATATTCCACAAATCATCAGGCCCCTCCTCGAAAATAGCGTTAGTAACTTGCGACTCCTGCCCTTCAGACGACCCCCCTCCACACGCGACCCGCTCCTGCCCTTCAGACGACCCCCCTCCACACGCGACCCGCCCTCCACGCGACCCTCCCCCCAAGGCCCTCCTTTGCAATCCCAACACCGTTCCGAGCGGATGCGCCTCGGAGCCTTGTCCTGAACCCTGGCCTCCATTTCGGTACTCGTCTAGAGGGGCATGCAAATTCCTGCTCCTTTCAGAGGGTATTACAACACCTGCAGAATTATTTGCTAACACTCGTCTAACGGAGAGGAATTACAGCGGTACCTTTTTTTAAAGTCAGCTGACGACTCGTTGCCTCAGGAAAGGTAATGACAGCCCTGAATTGGAAGCGGTCAGCATCGCTACTTCATCCTCATCGAGACTGGCTGATGAGGGAATGAATGCGGTGAAAATATTTTTTTTTTTTTTTTTTTTTTTTTTTAGTGGGATCTCTTTCAGAGGGAAACCGCGTAATGACTGGATATAAAATAACCCCCTTGGTCCTCCTAAGTACTTCATTTCATTTTTTTTATCTTGCTTGGTCCGAAATCTCGGACGATGCTGCGTCGTCGCTTCAAGAGGTAAAAAGTCGATTTAAACGGCTAAACCTTAGCACAATTTTCACCTCCTCAAATTTCTACCGTTACAGTAACGCTTCGGCCGATTCTGAGTCACGTGGGAGCCTGAATCGTGCAAAAATAATTCGGTATGCAAAAATCATTGGGTGGTGCCAAATGTTGAAGGGATTGCAAAACACGATCTCCCTCCGACTGGCGGATGGTTCTTCAAATTATTATTTTGCATAAAAATCTGATTTTAGAGTATTTTTTTTTTGCAATTGTCTCACCTCCTCCCTGGCGACGTCGGAGCATTCTTCGAAACTCCTCTCGGCCTCGTACTTGGCTGCTTCCGCCTGCGAAAGTCCAGGAAACGAATCAAAATCGCGGCGACAAATCTCCAAATCGTGGCGACAGTGGCAGGGGGCGAGACACTCGAGATTCGGCTTACTCTATTGCAAAACGGGGATGAAGGCGGTACGACCCAGAAACTCGGTCTGTCGTGTCCAGATGTCATCAGATGATCATCAGATGATCATCTCGTTTCCCCCAAAGATCTTTCCCCCCCCCCCCCCCCCCCCC